AAACAGCATTTTAATAACAACTAAAGATGACCTGGATACTTTATTATGGTATAGTATTTAAATATATGCCTGAGAAACACATAATATTGCCCCTTTAAATGCTTTASCTAAATATTGATGTCAAAGATTTGGAGGTAAGATGGACCCAGAATGCAGGCAGGCATGCAGGCTCGATGAACTAATAAAAATCTCTAATAAAAGTATATGGCTGATGTGGCGGCAGCAACAACACAAAGACAAAAACTGGAGTACACAGAAGGAAGCCAGGGCAGAAACCAAACAATGATCGGACGCTGGAGTAGTGAAAACAGGCTGGTTAATAAAGAGCAGGGATGAGTGGAAGTGGAAACAGCTGAGCTAATGAGAAGTAAAGACAGTTGTGAATGAATGAGCTGGAGTGAGGACAGAGGAGAAAGAGTGATGGCACGAAAAGGACACAAGAGCAAGACAGCAGACAAGACACAAGACCACAGATCCTCACAACTGAAGTGTTCCAAAATAGAACACAGCGTTTGCTGTTAGTGCTTGGCTCTAATTAGGACATCATCATCCTGAGACAAAAGCAATTGCTAACAGTGCTAATGCTGCTAACACTGCTAATGCTTTCCTATAAGACATCAAACCTGCAGTTGTGGCTGGTGTCTAAGCTGCACTGCAGAAATTTTTCCCTTTGTTTTTAGCACCAGTGAAATAACTACCAATCTGAGCTCTGGTTAGACTGACTACTCTTGCCTKTTGTCCCATTTTGCATGATTTATGATGTTGGTTTAAGCAAAATAAGATATTTCTGTGTGTTTTTGAAGTGATGTCAGCTTACAGCATGGGCAAGCTTTTAATAGTGTGTGGTTTTGACATCTAAACAATACAGAATGATGCAGCTCCTGAAAATACGGCTGCCAAAGAATTCACCCACTGTGACCATTACAGTGTTTATCTAGTTCAACAGTTACACCAATTAATAAATTCATTACCAGTTAACACTGGGATATCCACTGCTTCACTTGTTGTTTGTTTCAGTCTGTTTTCAAAATTAATTTTTACATTGTGGAACTTTGCATCGGAACAACTGGCAGAAACAGTGTAATTGTAGATAAAGGTGGTATTTTCTGCAACATAAAGAGATGAAAATGTATGTTAGTGAATTAGCTGTTTAAGTTTAGGAAAGAAGTATGWAAGCAAAATTGTAATTTTGTCTTACTTGAATTTTCTGTGGATTTTAGCACATTATCAAAGTACCATGTTATGGTATAGTTCTCAGTGGTTACAGGAATGGCAGCAGAGACATTAAGCGTTACAGAAACAGCAGTTGTACAGTCCATAACGAGAGGACTGAATTTCATGATGATCTCATCCGGCAGGAGAGCAACTTCCAAATAAGATCTGGCAATGTGCCTGATTGACCCAACAGTAAATCCACATTCATATGTACCTGTTGGAAACACATAATTAATTCAGTTTGAAGTTTTTACATTCTTTCTCACAAATGATTGCATCCATTTGAGACAAAGGGCTTTATGCTAAGACATAATTATAACGAAACACTTAAGAAGGCATACCTCACAAATAAAATACAAAAATAAATGCTTAATGACAAGTAAAACACATGTTTGTAATATTGAGAGGTTTTTGTTCTAATAATTGAGAATGAGTTCATTTTTGCTGCCAGTATATCGCTCACATACCATATGTGTAATTCTGTGCAGGAGAAGCAAGAAGAGATATAAAGAGTGGACAAAACATTGTAGTATTATAATTATTCAGTTGTCCAAAAAGGCCCTGTCACACTAGATAACTTATGCCAACTTATGAACGTTTTAAAGATGTCTACGTTGAAGATGGAATTGATTAAATCAACAGTAAGCTTCTTTTTAGGGTGTACACAATGTAATTTTAACTAATTGATCAAATATATAATTATTATTAGCAATTTAGATATAAAAATGTTTCATAAGTTGGCCTAAGTTGTTTAGTGTAACAGGGCCTTAAACAACAAATTCAGAATCAATATACACACTAACATTTGTAGCTTCCGTGTTTACTTCTGTAAACATAGTTTACTTGCCTATCCATGCGCCTGTCAACAGAGTGAGATTGACWGCAACACAGTTTGTATAATCTGGAGGACAGGTGTATATGATTTTGGCTGTAAGACCATTGTTGATCTCCAAGCGTTCAAACGGTCTGCTTAGGTTCCAGCCAGAACTGCCCACAACAGCTCCCATTTCCTCAAAAGCACATTTTAGAAGCAGCTGGGACTTGTATTTCACCGCATCGGTTGGGGCATCCATGTAGACCAGTCCTATGGAAGATTAAAAAAAGAAATACAATTGTGGCATGACAACATAAAATTAAACACTTAAACAAAACAAAACAGAAATGGTTTACTAACCTTGAGTGTCAGCAAAAATCGTACCAGAGCCTAGAGTACTTTGCACGGTATTCAGAATGTCTTGAAGTTTAGACGTGTTTACTTTGACGTTTACTTCCACCTCAAAGTCAACAATGGGGCTTATTGGTGGACAGGGTTAGACAAAGATCATGGAGAAAACATTAGTTAGCAAAAASGTCTAAAAACATGACATGTAAAGCATATGTTTTATAATTAATTTTTTTTGTTCTAATATTTGAGAATATGAAAGAAGTATTTCTTCTTTGCCTTATCTTGCTGCAAAGTCAAAAGATTTCTCTGCAGAGGGACAAACAAAGAAATATTCTATTCAATGAAAATTGATCCCTGTTCATTACTGAGAGGTTCCTTTTATCTAAAGACTTCTTGCCATCCATCCATCCATCCATCCATCCATCCATCCATCCATCCATCCATCCATCCATCCATCCATTCTCTTCCACTTCATCCAAAGTTGGGTCATGGGAGCAGCAGCTTGAACAGGGAAGCCCAGACCTCTCTTTCTCCAGCCACCTCTTCTAGCTCTTTTGGGAGGACTCCAAGGCCAGCCAAGAAACAGTCTCTCCAGCGTGTCCTGGGTCTTCCTCTGGGTCTCCTCCCAGTTGGACATGCCTGAAGCACTTCCCTAGGGAGGTGTCCAGGAGGCATCTTACCAGATGTCCGAACCACCTCAACTGGCTTCTTTTGACATGGAGGAGCAACGGCTCTAGTCTGAGTCTCTCACAAATAACTGAACTTCTTACCCTATCTCTACGGGAGAGTCCATCTACCCTGCGGAGAAAACCCATTTCGACCRCTTTTATCTGCAATCTTATTCTTTCGGTCACTACCCAAAGTTCATGACCATACTGTAAGTGAGGGTAGGAACGTAGACTGATCGGTAAATCGAGAGCTTAGCCGTACAGCTACAGTAAGCTGCCTGTTCACCACAACAGACCAGTACAGAATCCACAAAACTATGGAAGCTGCACGGATCCGTCTATCAATCTCATGCTCCATTCTTCACTCACTCGTGAACAAGACCCAAAAATAATTGWWYTCCTCCACTTGAAGCAGAACTTCACCCACAACCCGGAGAGAGCAATCCTTTTCCAATTAAGGACAATGGACTCAGAATTGGAGGGGATGATCCTCATCCCAGCTGCTTCACATTCAGCTGCAAATCGCTCCAATGAGAGCTGAAGATCCTGGCGGGATGAAGTCAACAGAACCACATCATCTGCAAACAGCAGAGATGGAATCCTGAAGCCACAGAACAGAACTCCCTCTGCCCCCTGGCTGCACCCAGAAATTCTGTCCATGTAAGTTATAAACAGAATATGTGACAACGGGCAGCCCTGGCAGAGTCCAACTCCCACTCTGAAGAGGTCCAAACTTACTGCCGGCAACGCAAACCAAACTCTCACACCAATTGCATTGAGACTGAATGGCCCGTAAGAATGGACCCACAATCCCATACTTGTGTAGCACCCTCCACAGTGTACCTTAAGGAACACAGTCAAATGCCTTCTTCAAGTCCATAAAACACATGTAGACCAGATTAGCAAATTCCCATAAACCTTCGAAGACCCTAGTGAGGGTAAAGATTTGGTCCAGTGTTCCACGACCAGGAAAAAACCTACATTGTTTCTCCAGAATCGAGGTTCGACTATCAATCGGACTCTCTTTTCCAATACCCCTGCAAAGACCTTACCAGGCAGGCTAAGGAGAGTAATGTCCCTGTACTTAGAGCACACCCTCCGGTACTGCTTTTTTAAAGAGAGGAGTCACCACTGCTTCCTCCACAGAAGACATGCCAGTGGGATTCAGAAGGTCCGAGAAGTATTCTTCCACCTCCCGACTCATTGGGCCTCATGCAAGAACATGTTCGTATTCTTATCCTAAATTTCTCTTACTTTTGTTCGTACAAAGGCTTCGTACGAACATGTCACGTCAGATTCGACAAACTCTTCTATCTTCAGGAAAGGTGTGTAAATGAGCTGCGTAAATTCCACCTGTTCGTATCCAGCTGCTCGTGCACACGAGAGGAGATTAGCATAATTACCACCCCAAAAACACCATATAAGGCTATGTTTCCTGCTTCAAATACAAGGAAGTGTCCATTCATGAAAATGACAGCGAAAATTAAAAAGAAAAACTTTATGAGTTCAGAGATTGAAGTCCGTCTGTCAGAGATYCAGAAAAGAAAATCTGTCATTTTTAGCAGGTCAGCTGTGGAATAAAAAGAGCTGCTAATAGTTTAAACAACTGTTGTTACTGTAAATCATTTTCATTTATTCAGAAGACACAGCGCTGCACACCGTACACCCCCCACGTGCGAGGTCTCAAGTGGTCTCAGTTGCGGTTCTGAAATAAGCATTTTAAATTTTTTCAAAATATGTCTGGCACTTTGGAGAAAATCTAGGACTTGCTGGATGGATTATGTCTCCCCTCTGGCCTGGGAACGTCTTGGAGTCCCCCAGGACGAGCTGGAAGGTGTCGCTGGGGAGAGGGAAGTCTGGGTCTCTCTGCTGCTGTCCCCACGACCCGATCCCAGATAAGCCGGCCGGACGGACAATTTACAGTATATTGTTAGTCTAAATTATTACATTTAAAATTATAACTCTAATTCAAGCAGAAAGCGTACTGTCAAGATAATTATGGAGTGTGATTTATTTTCAACTCAAAATATCTTCAAACTAACAAAATATAAAGTTATTAATGAAGAAAACCCGTCTGGATAACAGCAGACTGACTGCTGGTAAAATATACGACAGGTCTGGACCACACGTGAATTTTGTTCGTATCTTAAAAAAAATCTTAGAATACGAAAACATTGGTGAATGCCACAAATTCTCCTAAATCACTCGTACGCACAACTTAAGAACAAATCTGTGCGTAYGAACGRTTCTTGCATGAGGCCCATTGCCTCTGGATCATACTCCAGGTTCAAACCGGGGTTTAAACCCAGGACCTTCTTGCTGTGAGGCATCAGTGCTGACCACTGAGCCATCCTGCTGCTCGGTCTTTTTAAAAGCATTACTAAAGACATAAATAAAGTATATTGGGCCAATAATTTAAACACGTATCTTTCTTGTAAAGAAGACAGAATGACAAATTCTATAAGAATACTTAAGGAGAATGATACCTCTTAATGGTGACATTTATGCCCTTCAGGCCATTAAGCCCTCCAAGCTTTTGTCTGAGCTTTGAAAACAAAGAGAGAGAGTTTATTTACAGAGTGAAGGTAAATGTTTGAATATAAATGAAGTTTTTTGCTTTTTTATTTGAAAGAATGTGATACACACCACTGCTTCAGCTGATCCTGAAAAGGTTGAAACTGATCCATTGATGCGCACTGTTTGGGTTACAAACATTTTCATTAGATATCGATTTGACACAGAAACCACTAGAAAAAGTTAAACTAAAAATAAAATGCAACCTTTATCCAAAGGAAGCAAGGTTATAAATTGTGACATAACAGTCTTTTTTCTGTCACTGACTAATAAACCTTAAAATTCATCAAGAGACACCAGAAAGCTCTTACCAGTAGTTGGGAGAACACAGATGGATGTTGCGAGGGAAATATTTTGTGTGCATGTTGTGTCAGTGCAGCAGTTGTAATTGTAGCAGACTTCATTGCTCCAATAATATCCTTTAGAGCAGTTGCAGTTATACTCCTCGCCAACAACAAGGCACTCTAAAGAACAAAGCAGAAACCCAAGAAGAAGAAAAAAGGTTTCTACCATTTTTTTTCAGTCATCCATCTAACTTCACATTCAGGACTAATCAGATGGCCTGCACATTCTAAAATGATATTGACTATAAATGCTTCATTTATTTGTGTTCTCATAAAAAATACCTATATTGCTATTTGTATCTAAGCAGGATTCTATGACCTAAATTTTATCAATGTGATCAATATTTTCCTCAAAAATCTGTTGTTTATCATGCGAGACTTGTATTCTGCCCTCTAGCGGATTAACAATGTACTGCAGGAAGTGGAACTTTTTTTTTTTTTTTTTTTTTTTTTTTTTTTTTTTTTTGCCTTTTCAAAATGTCTGCTGACATGAGGTCATCCACACATTTTTTTCAGGAAAACTTTTGCTAATTTTGGAGAAGTTATGGTAAGAAGTTATTCTATCAATATTGTTTGTAATTTTTTTAAATAAATGCTTTCTGTGTTGAAACAATTCATAATTACTTTAAAATATTTTTAATAGTACAGTTAAACTGTGTTAAAAATTTGTGTATCGAACTTGAAACTGCAGGTGCTCCAGTCGTAAATTGTCATGTGACATTTTAGTAATTTTAGTAATTTGATTAACAGTATTCTTGCCACAATACAACACACTGTTTTGGATGATTAATTACTGCAATGCCATTTGAAAACACATTTTGGCTATTTTCAAAGTGCTTTCCTTTGAAATTATAATCTCTACGCTGTACTGACTATTTACATGTTAGATGTCAAAGAAAATTGAGGAAGAAGAGAAAAAAAAAAGAATAGTAAGAAAATGTCGTCAATATGATAATAGATGGTAATTTTTTATAAAGTGTAAGGTACATCTGTGCCTGTTAAAGGACAGAAACTGTATTTGTGCCTACCACCAAGTGAAATAAATGGCTGTAAAAGTTCATTGTAAAAAAAAAGAAGTAAACTAGAGTGTTCTAAACTTGTTAAAAGTTATGGGCAAAACTGTCTTTTGTTTCTTAATTTAACTTTGTTGTGAGCAAAATGTAACCAAAACAGCCCAGTGTATCAGATTTGATACAAAAAATATATCCTAAACAAAGTGATGTGGCAAAAAAAAAGTGGGGTTTTGTTTAAAGGCCCAAAAAACGTGTCGGTTCTAAAAAATTGGAATTTTCTGATAATTTTTTAAAGGGTTTAAGAATTGAATCTGTGATAACAGCAAGTGAACTTAAAATCAACCACCTCATCCTTAAACCACAGGCAGAGTGATGATGTGTTTTCTTATCTCTGTGTCTTTCTGTTAGCAAAATATCTCATGAACCAGCGAGCTAGTTTTTATAACACTTTAATCATTGGGTGTACATTTAAAACTGATTGTTTTCAGAAGTTCACCTGCAGAAAAGCATTCTTACAAAACTCAAAAGCAGCTAATTCTGAGTCAGTTTGACAGATATGCTCAAATTTATTGTGTTGGTAAATGAGACTGATCCCAACTTATACTCGCATTGGTAACTGATAGTGTGTGACCTGCATTGAAAATTTTACCATTGATTATTGGAGCAACACTGTTACATACATGTCAAGTTGTATGGATTGCCTGTAATTTACATGGATTTTCCATCATTTTGGAGGCATGCAGATGTACTGTATAGAGCAATCTCATGTATTTGTTTCTTTTATGGATTTTTTTTTTCAAAACCTCAGTTTCAAATGATTTTAACATGTCAGAGCCAGTAGGATGTAAAAAAAAAACAATAAATAACATCAAATAACCATCTTCCAACCTGTTCTGCCGCTAGAAATAAGACTAAAAATAAGTTCTCCAYGTCTTTCGCTCTACTTTCTACAGAGCCTGCAAAGGGACATGGGGAAATTTTTTTTCTTTTGCGTTCCCACACAATACTATTACGTTCCCACGCAAAAGATTGTTTTGAAAATGAACTGAATTAAATCAGACTTTTRTTTTGAAATATCCGGTTACCAAAACAGGATGTGTCGCCACAGTTCGTGAAATTGACATTGATGTTGCGTGGCTGCACTGTGTTAAAATATCGACATACTTCCATGCGTGGCTGTGTGATATATTCATTCTGAAGCTGAATTAAAGCAGTAGGTTAACTCGCTAATGGTGAACGTGTGAATTTGTTAATAAACCGGGAGGCACAACAGTGATAAATGACTTTTGTGAGGTAACGCAAAAGATATTGCGAGGTAACGCAATACTGCTGCGTGGGAACGCAAAAGGAAAAAAAAATCTCCCATGTCCCCTCACGGGCTCCGTAACTTTCCTCCTGCTTTGCAGCAGGCGCTGTCATCTCCACAGCCAACAGTAAGTTTTAATCCTCCGGTTGGTTTTTATTTTAGAGCTTCCAAGATATATTTGTCTGAACTTGGTATTTGCACCTTGGTGACAGAATGATCTACAGTCCAAATTAAAGCTTCATTTATTTTTGTCTTTTTGGGATCGTTTAAAGCTTTGACTAAGTCTAACGTAACTGWAAAGTGAAACTGCTCATCTCAAATTTGTTCTAGTTTTATGTTGATTATAAATTGTTTTACTTTTATTACCTCCAGCTATGTTTTTCAGACACAATAGTTTATTTGTTTATCTGTGCACAAGATAAGTTATGAACACAAACATAATTCACGAGATATTCAGGGTTTGTCACAAAGAACTAATGATGAAATTTTGGAGATGATCTGGACAAACAGAAACAGAGAAAAAACAAAGAACAGAGGAGTCAGASACTGTTTTGTAGTGATGATGTCATACTGCGAAAGCCAATCAGCATCTGGCAGATCTTTGTTCCACCAATCAAAACTCAGCTGCTCCACACTCTAATTTGCGTAATGTAGAGTGTTGGTGAAGGTGTACACTCTCAGAGTGATTGTTTAATAGTAAGTATGGGATTGCAACTTTGTAACTTTGTAAAGGTGTGCTATCTGGACCAAGTCTCATTTTAAAAGAGGTTATTCTCCAGGGACTTCTTGTTCAAACAAATAAACCAATCAAAATACCTGAAATATTTGCTGAATATTCTTAATTTGTGTTCAGATTAAAAGGACTGGTCTAAATCTCAAACATGGGAATGGATATTCCTGAAAAAGTTCAAAATCTGTTTTTCACTCACAATGAAAGCCTGAAAGAAATGTGATCCATTTTCAGACCAATTAGCTATAATAAAAAAAATGCACACATTGCCTGTTTTCATTATGAGACTTTAAGAACTCAAGAGAAAATTCCCGTGCGGGTGCCTCTTGGGGCTCTGCGCTCGAGATCCCTCTCGGGCCCTTGGGCTCTGGTCTTCCCTCTGTCTGCCTCGTGTCTTGGGGGTTGAGTCTCCGATCCTCCACAGTCACTATTAAATATTCCATTGGAGAAATCTTGTATATACACGCATGTTCACAACTGCTCACAGACAGGTGCTCTGATCCGGGGGGTTCTGACAGGTCACCAAGTGTGTATATATGTCTGTGTGTGTATACTGACAATATTTATGAATGTAGGCATGTATGTACACTTCTGATCAAAATCTTAAGACCAGTCAAAAAAGTGCAAGAATTTGCATTTTGCACTATTGGATCTTAAGAAGGTTCTAAGTAGAGCTTCACAATGTTAAAAGAAGAAATCAGTGCAAGAGACAAGAACTTTTGAACAGGGAATTTTCTGAAAACTGCATTTACACTCAAACATGATTTTTTTCAGCTGATCAAAAGTTTAAGACCATAGCTCAAAAAACCCCCGAAAAAACCCCCAAAACAGAAATCAGTGTCAAACAAAGGACTCAGTATTGAGTAGCTCCACCATTCTTGTTGATGACTTCAAACAATCGTTTAGGCATGCTTGATG